ACTCGTCAATATGCGTTTTTTGCATTGCATTGCTGCAAAAAACGCATAAAAACCAATACTGTGCCGATGGCTTGTGTACAGATCCCACACTAATACAGTAAAAAAAGCATAGTAAAAAGTCTACCTCGAAGCAGAATTTCTCCGGCATAAATACTGTCGCAGCCTTCTGCAGCAAATCTTTCAAATAATTTGTCGTTGACGACATGCACTAAAAAAAGACAATCATTTTTACTCAACAAAATTTGAAATTTTGAAGAGTTTCACGATTTTTTACCGCTCAAAGTTCGGAAATTATCAAGCCTGGGGGCACAGGCCTAATGGCACTTTATGGGGTTCAAATTTCTAATAAATCCCGTGGAACAGAGGCAAAAGTGCCTTATCCAGTAGTTTCGAAGAAATCAAAGAATTACACCAAATTTACCAGTTACGCCCTGGATAACTCTGTTGAAGACAATGCTTATTTTATGGCAACCGTAAAAGTAAACTTTCAATCGGTAGGATATTTCAGCAGTGTACTAGAAGTAGCAACGTAGAAGACGGGGGAAACAGCTAAGGGCTTGGTAAAATTCCCCTTGCTGGGAGAACTGCTGAGTTGGTAATCCACCCAGGGGAAAAAAGAATGTCAGAATCGCTAAAAGATTAGCCATCCGTTAACGTAGCTTTGGTGTAAGCAAATGAAAAAAATTTTCAAATGAAAAAACTTGTAGTTATAAATCGCATTTGATCAAGGTATCAAATTTTGAAAAGAATTTACACTGTAAAGTGTTATTAAAAAGTCAGAAAAAAGTTGAGAATCTCCGCTTAATCAGGTCGAATTCCGTGACCCGGTGCTGCGTAGGTTGCATTCAAAGAACAATTGCGATGACCCTGAGTAAACGAGATTTCTTTCTGATGAACAGCACTGTGAATAGTTCATTGTTACATACGTGGCACCCATAAAAGTGGACGCTAAAACATTGCTTGTGACAAAGCCTCGCACCTGAAAACGTGATTACTTACGTCAGTGTAGCCAATTCCATCCCAGAATATATTTGGTTGAAACAGGTGGCATACTTTGGCGCAAAATCCAGACAAATATCGTGTCGTGAACATGTCCATAAATGATTGAATTCTGCTCTCATTCAATAAAAATTGATTCTAAAAATATAAATAAAAAATTCAAAATATTTCTAAAGTGCTGTAGCACAGTGAGGCATACAAATGTCTAATACACTGAACAGCTCCTCTCTTTTTATCGTAAATTCCTTCTTAGTAAATATGCAGGTAGCAAATTTTTGAATTTTTTGATCCCGATGCAACCAATAACTTCAAAAAGACACATAAGTATATCATCAAATCGAATTGATAAATCCCTTGAGGGGCAAAAAAGAATATCAGAATCACCGAACGGTTGCCCATCACGACAATAACACTGGTCAAAGAAACTGAAAAGGTCGTCGCTGCAGGGGTGGAGATAAAAAGACATGCAGAGCTAGTCCTTAGACTAAAAAAATAAATATAAATTCAAAATTTTCAACAAGCCTCTATGTATGTTGTAACCGCCATGCATAGGCTGCACCGTGCACATTCCCCAGCTGGCGTTATCATTACTGCTGTAACAGAACATAGATTTTAATTAATTTACAACAAGGTTCCATTTAAACGAAATCCAAAATTATGCAAAAAAAATTCAGAGATATTAAATGATTAGCAATACTATTTCTCATACACCTTTATCTCAAATTTAGCTAGTAATTCGGAACAAATCGTTGAATATTTTTTATTATAAATCGCCTATTTGTTTTAAAATGATGAACTCTTAGTGTAAAATTAGTCAATCAATTTTCCTATCTTTAAAGTAGATTAGAGGAACGCTGCTATACAGGGTCCACCATCAACTGTAGTCATTGTGCGATTATACAGATACCTTTAGAGAAGTGGCACACATACGTCGAAAAAGCGATGGATAACTAAGTGAAGGTATGCAGCCCACGGTCAAAAGGCTTGGCATACACTCAACGTTTTTTTTTTTTTTGGAAGCATCCTAGTAATATTTTTGACATAGAATCCCCACACTAACTGCCCAACCGATTTTTAGTATCCCTGGTATACAAGAAGCGAGTGTATTTTACTGGGGAAAACTGGAAAAATTTAATTTACTGGAAAAATTTTTTCCTAAATATACTATTGATTTTAGAAAAACAAAATATTCCAATAAATTAAAATTAATAATTAACTGAATAAATGCTCGAAATAAAAGCAATGCTAAGTTCATTTTGACTTTTGGAAGCCTGTAAGCTGCTATCTCTGACACGATCAACACTTAAGAAGAGGAAGAACAGCGCCGACACCATTCTTATCTATCCCCGTTTATCACAGAAAAAAGATCCGAAGAGCTCGATAAAAACAATCTAACGTATCTCAAGACGCCATTCCTTGAGAAATTAAATCAATCAAGCGCTTACAATTTGTTTTATAATTATGATAACAGGCTGGTAGCAGTGCTGAACAAACTGCTTCTGCGCTTGGTAAATTCGCGCGAATATATTGGCGAAGTACTTGTTCAGCATGCTGAAAAAAATCGGAATTTTCATCTTTAGCATTTGCTAAATACATTAAAAAAATGTGCTTATTTTAATGGCAGATTAATACTGCCATATTCCGTGGAGTCAAAACAATCATCAGCTCGCTTCTAAGCAACTCTTCGAGAAGGAAGCCAATCAACAGCTTTATCAACAGACGGTTACTTTTATGCGTAATACCATTAGGCACTGGCGGATCCTGGAGGAGCGGAGAGAGATGATGGGTCTTTCGACCCCCCTCCCCAGCGGCACAAGCAGCAATGCTAGAAGTGAAGAAAAATCCCCTGGACATTTCTCGTCGCCTTCCCCTCCCCAATCCTCGTCGATACGTCTAAGAGCAATGAATGCGGGGACGGGGAGAAAGCGGGGCTTCCGACACAGTGACGAACAAGGGGGGG